TTTTCCATAACCTTGAACCTTCCATGTTGGAAGGCTGTCGGTTAGCGCTACGGAGATGTGTTGAAGCTAGTTGGCTTGACGTCGAATGTCTCGAATGTCGAATAATGAATGTCTCAGTACTCTGTCAGTTTTGTGCCTAGTTATTGCACTTTCTGACTGTATAAAGTATCATGTTACAGTGATGGAGAGTTACTCTTAACTCGTATCCATAATGTCCTTTTCCTTTTTACATTTGCTTATTTTATTTTAAATAATCGACGTGGATACAACAATAAAATAGCAATAAAGAGAACAAATCCTGCGGTCATCGCCACACTACAACAAAGTCATAAAAGTTTACAAACTTTAATTTTCTTGTCACATTCATCAGTGGAAAGTCGTGATTGAAGAGTATCCATGCTGAACGATGATTTTAAATATACATTCAATAATGTATTACGAGAACAAAACATAGTGATAAAATAGAATGAGCTCATGACAGAGGGTGAGACAATAGAAGTGAAGTGAGAGCTAAGTGCAACGGTGGCTGAGAAACTAATTGTAACGCTAGAACTGTGTAGCGAGCCAAACAATCATGCTGTGCACCTACGAAAACAATCTTAACGCCACTGTATGTTTAAAGTTGAACTGGATGGTGAGCCAATAATAATTATTATAGTTATGATGAACTTGTTATTGCACATAACTAATTCATCATACATGGTAGTGGAGTTCAGTAGGATGTTGGCGTTCGGTTTGTCATATTTTGTTTTCGCTCAGCTTCCCCTCTATATTTATTATATAAACTTGAGCCTCCCAAGTTGGGTGGTCTTTTGCTTTGCGTCGTCGAGTTGTAGTAATGTTGAATTTGAAACAGGACGACTGACGACACATTATCCAGACATTACAACGGGGACAGGTAGGTTGGGGGAACGACATTTATTATAGACAACGAAACAAGAGACCAAGACGGACGAAACGACTACATTGAACTGATTTGAAGAGTGAGAAAAGAGAGGAAAAGATTAAGTCTGAACGGCAAGATAAAGGGCCTGGGTAGCTATGGCAAATATGGGCGCGCAAGTAGCTACCCAGGCCAACGGAACAAAAGGAGACAAAAGGTGAGTACGCAAGTGCATGCAGGCCAGCTAGAAAAGATACGGGAGGAGGTACCTAACATACCACCCCTCCATGAAAAAAATCCCGCGTCCTCGCGCAGAGAAAAAAAGAAGAGAAAAAGATTTAAAAAAATGACTGAAGGAGAAAACACACACACACGCTGCACAGGCCTCACAAAAGTGTGTACTAAAAATGCACTACAGATCATTACAACCGTCAACGTTCCTGTACTACTTATATTATAGTGTGTACATTGCCAATAACAACGGGCCCAAACGCCCCTTCAAAACATGGCACAAAATGATAACTATTGGAGTTCGACGAGGGACTTGAATTGTATTTGAATTGTATTCTGATGACTAGTATTTTGCATGGCTAATAGAGCCTAGTTACACTTTAATATACGACATAAACAAGAGAGCGTGGCTCACCATGATCGGACCCCTAATATTAATGAAGGACACCCGCGCACACTACAAAAAAATCACGCAAATAAATTTGACGAAGAAGGAACACATACAAAAAATAGATAGAGAGAAAGGTAGCTGACCTGCATGGCTTGAACGACACGAAGTTGACATAGATGAGACGAGGTTGGCGTAGGAGAGACGAGGTTGATAGAGACGAGACGAGGTTGGCGTAGGAGAGACGAGACTGACATGGACGCGACGAGGTTGACATAGACGAGACGAATGGCGGTTGAGGACGGCTGGGCCTGGGATGATCTCAGGGTCGTGGGTCGATCACTAATCGGGCGCCAATGTTGAGTTCGAAACAGGACGACTGACGACACATTATCCAGACATTATAACGGGAATAGGTAGGTTGGGGGAACGACATTTATTATAGACGACGAGACAATAGACCAAGACGAACTAAACGACTACATTGAACTGAATTGAAGAGTGAGAAAAGAGAGGAAGAGATCAAGTCTGAACGGCAAGATAAAGGGCCTGGGTAGCTATGGCAAATATGGGCGCGCAAGTAGCTACCCAGGCCAACGGAACAAAAGGAGACAAAAGGTCAGTACGCAAGTGCATGCAGGCCAGCTAGAAAAGGTACGGGAGGAGGTACCTAACAGTAAGGCTGGTCGGTCCAGTAGTCTTACTAGTTTCTTCATCATCCAGTAACCTTCGGCATTCTTTGTCGCCGTGATGCGTAGCTCGTGCTCTTCTTCGTTGCGCTTTCCTTCCCCTCTTGGACCTTTCCGAATCTGAGCCTTCCAAGTTGGAAGGTTGTTGGTTTGCGCCTTGGAGAAGTGTAGGAGCTAGGTGTCAGGTCGCCAAATGTCTCAGTACTTCTTGTCAGTTTTGTGCCATTTTGTCGCACTCGCTAACTCTATAAGATCTGGTTACGTTGGTGGACAATTAGTCATAACTCGTAACATTTTGTCCTTCTTCTTTTCACAATAATAAAAATAATAAATAATAATCTACGTGGAGATAATAATTTTAATATAGCTATGAATAGGATGAAGGCCGCCGCAGACATCACGCAACTACGTTACTTGTTTGACATGTAGTACTGTGTATTTTATAACAAAAATATTTGTTACGTAATCTTGTTAACTTTTTGCGTTTCCTCTAGTGGTTTTATTGTACTTGTACCTTGATGTTATTTCTAACACCTTTCTATTTAGTATTTACAGTACTTAATTTCAGTTTCTTTGGTTGTATCCTTACTTCAGTAGTTCCGTATTTTTCCCACTGATGATAGGAACAAGTAAATCGATTCTGGGTTTTCAATAATATTTTTGTTATAAAATACCAGGTACTACATGTCAAACAAGTAACGTAGTTGCGTGATGTCTGCGGCGTCCTTCATCCTATTCATAGCTATATTAAAAATAATAAGGCTCAGTATCCGAGTTTAAATAAAAGAGAAACGTTTAAAAAAAAGTTATGATGATTCTTGGTTCAGTGTTGTTCGTTCTGCAAGTAGTTTCAAGCAGTTAAAAGTTCTAGAAGCAGTCTACATTCGCATTCGTGATCCAAATCTTTGTAAACAAAAAGAAAATGTCACCGCACTTACGCTATTCCAGTAAATTCGCACTCACACACACTTACACATGCATGTCCATTGTCACACTGCACTTGCTGAATTTCCTATCATTTCTCACCTCACCTATAGTTTATTACCTGTGCAAATTGTTCCTAGGTTTGTGCTATTTTTCTTACTATGCTTGTATCCTCGCTGTTCCTCTGCAAGTGTATAAATCCTATTGTAGTTTCATCATTCTCTTTAGTCACGAATTCCATTGATAATTGTGACAAGAAAACGTTCTGGAATACATGATTCGTCCCCATGGTTGTGATATGAGTGCGCATTTAGTTATATTCATTGCATTATTAAGAAACGTTTTATTAAAATTTAATGATTCCCCTCAACTCGTGCTTCATGACTAATTGGCACGTAAAAGCGAGAGAGGGGTGATAGCCAACCACGGCAAGAAAAGAAGAGAATAAGGAAAAATTCAATTCGGATGGTGAGGCAATTAAATTATGGTGAAAAGAAGAAAAGGAGAAGGAAAAATGTTACGAGTTATGACTAACTGTCCATCAACGTGACTAGATCTTATATGGTCAGCGAGTGCAACAAAATGGTACAAAACTGACAAGGAGTACCGTATTTTCCGGAGTATAGTGCGCACTTTAGATGTGCTATTTTAGGCCAAAAATCGCTGGTGCGCACTATGCTCCGAATATGAAATGCATGTACTTCAATGAAGATTGAAGTGAGCACCCTCAATGAAGATTGGGGATGCGCGTTATACAAAGGTGCGCGCTATACTCCGAAAAATACGGTACTGAGACAGTCGGAGACCTGACACCTAGCTCCAACACTTCTCCAAGACGCAAACCAACAACCTTCCAACTTGGAAGGCTCAGAAGAGCATGAGCTACACATCATGGCAACAAAGAATGCCGAATGTTACTGGGTGATGACGAAAATATTACGACTATTGGACATACCGGCCTTACTACAACTCGACGACGCACAGCAACAGACCACCCAACTTGGGAGACTCAAGTTCATGTAATAAACGTAGAAAGAGGAAGCTAAGCGAAGACAAATTGTGACAAACCGAAACGACAACATCCTACTGAACTCCACTATCATGTATGATGGACTAGTTATGGACAATAACAGGTATTTCCACACGATGTACGTTTGGCCGTATAGGTCATTGCGGCTCATCAGGTGTGCAAATTCAACTCGGATGGTGAGCCAATTAAATTATGGTGAAAAAGGAGAAGGAAAAATGTTACGCAGTTTGACAAACTGTCCATCAACGTAACCAGATCTAATATGGTCAGCGATTGCGACAAAAGGGCGCGCAACTGACAAGGAGTACTGGGAAATTCGGAGACCTGACACCTAGCTCCAACACTTCTCCAAGGAATGCCGTATTTCGACTCCGCTGTACCGCTGAAGCATCATGCATGGTAAAAGCTATATGCGCTGTGTGCGATTTACTGTATACGCTGTCATTTGCATGCTTTACATATCTGGTCGTCTTAGACTGAGTTATTATGTTCGATCAAGTGAAGTATACCGTTAAGAAAAAGTAGTTGTCCTCGTGCCGTGTGGTCATTCCTTCCTGACACTTACGAGAATCAGAGGCTTCATAACAAAGCATTTCACACACAGCGTCTACAACTGTTTCCTTCAATCAGTGCAACAGATAATAATACTCACAGATAATCGAGGTTTGTTCACCACGTATCCAGCAGTACTCTATATACACACAGTTATATTAACCCTTTATTGGCCGGCCCATACATTGATCGAACACCGATGTTCGATGGGGTAGGCATTTTGAAATTATCGTAACTTGGTCAAATCTCGGTCTTTCGGATACTATTCTCTGCGTTCACAGTGGTGCAGTTGAGAATACTTACAGTGTTTGGAGGTTTGTTAGACCAGAGAACACACCGTCACTTAAATTCTGGATCTGATTATTGTACAAATATCTACGAACGACAAAGCATAAAGACAATGTTGTTCTTGCACAAACCACAGAGTCTAGGAAATGGTAGTTCTAATCTAAAAGGCCGACACATGACCTTGTTTTCAGAAATAACCTAAACTCCTAACCACAACATGATTCATATGCAACTGGGTTAGGTTGCACAGTTCACATTCACCACTTTAACATATAGTCTCCGACATTTTTCCTCTATTGTCAAGCAAGAGGTTTGTGGAAAATCTAAGAAAACACAATTTCTAACCATCCATTGTTTGACATTGCAGACAAATAACTGAGAACTGAATATGAGAGTATACCCCTAAACTGGGACTTCCCAGGGATTCATAGTCATTGGCGGATCATGGCGTTAGAAAAGGTACAAAATCCTCGGTCTTCTTTATGGTTCGTTTAATTTATGTTTCGTTATGTTTACAACCCTCCCCCTTTTTTTGTTATTATTGATGAAAAGATGGAGCAGAAATAAAGGATGTGGGTGCCAAAAGTTTGAAGGTTCTGGAAATGGCAATGCTTGTCGAACAGAATCTGTGATTGTTTTAGAGAATAATCCGCAATGGGCGAATGCCTCATGGCTTAAATTAGTAATATAAAGGCCATATCATCTTTGTTCTGCGCTTCCTAAAACTTCAGAACTTTTGAAAGTTATAGAGGGAGACATGATTGTACATTAGCCACTGTAATGCAGTTCTGAACATGTAGGAAGAATTTGTTGCTCCATTTTCTGTGCGCTGCCGTCTAGGTATCCCATGCACGTAACCCTTTTCATCCAAGTGTTGTAATTGTAACACCATGTTGTAACTTTAACACCGTGTTGTAAATGTAACATTACTTCTCTATCACTGCATCAGCTCAACCGCCACCACTGGACTGCCTTTTTACACTCTTTTTATTGGCACAAGCAGGACCACGGAAAACGACTACATCTTGACAAGACGACAGACCAAAGACCAGCTCACATAGTCTCGCGCATGCGCACAACACCACCAACCAATGATGCGTGAGCACAGCGACCAAGACGAGACAAACACGTGACACAAAATCTACCACACAAGGACTAGGGTTTCACCTCTTTACGGTGCCCATTTACTACTCTGGACATCTGGACATCATCTACCTTTCTTTCAACCTCTCGCTAGTTACGGCTCAGCTAGATGCAACCTCTCTGTGTAGGATCTGAACGCACTCGTTCTTCATGCTCTTTCTTTTTTTGCGTACCACCTGTGATTGTCAGCTGTAGTCGGACGTCCCTTTGCTAATTGGGATAGGGTCTTAGTGAGATGGGAATAGTGTTGTTCTCCCCCTGGTCCCCGCCTCACAGCAACGCAAACTAGATTGTGTCTCAATTCTTATCATTATTACAACAAATGGCGAAGGCGCAGGAGGAGAATGGAAAACTAAGGTCAAACGAAAAGACAACAGGAAAGACACAAAGAAACCACAAAGAACAAGCAGTAATAAAGCTAAAACAAATCCATACTGGCCAACCACCAAAATCTCTATACCTTGACAAGACATGCAGAATCCATGGATTTCTCTCAAAATCCCTGAATAGCTCTAAACACAAGTAAGTCACCTGGCTCTGACACCGTCTTACCAGCCGTACTGTAGCATGGTCGTGATTCCATAGCAGTTTCTCTCACTGATATTATCAATAAATCTCTGAGCACAGGGTGCGTACCAGATATTTTCAAGAATGCCACAGTCAGCCCAGTTTTCAAATCAGGCGATGCAGAAAGCTCTACTAATTACAGACCAGTCTCATTATTGCCCATATGCAGCAAGTTATTAGAACGAGTTGTCTTGGAGCAGCTTATTGCAATCTTTAAGTTACACAACATCATGTACGTGCCTGACAATCAATTTGCCTACCGTACCAACAGCTCGTGTGAGGACTGCCTAGCGCTAGTGGGCGACGAATGTCTCAAAGCCCTTGATAACAACGAGTACTGCGGCATAGTGTTTGCAGATATGAGCAAAGCTTTTGACCGAGTTAAGCATCAAGAGCTCATTGACGAGTTGAAGATGCTTGGCAGTGCTGACACTGCACTTGCTTGGTTTGCAAGCTACCTGACCAGACGCGTCCAGCGAGTAAGAGTAGGACAACAGCTAGGTGGGGCCCGCCCTTGCACAAGAGGCGTCCCACAAGGCTCCGTGATCGGCCCATTGCTATTTTGCATTTACACCCGTGATGCACCACAGTGCTTCCAACATGCATTGAATCAACTTTATTCCGATGATATCACACTCTATATCAAGCACAAGTCCATCCAGATCATCACAACCCAGCTGAGTGATGACCTTGCCGCTCTGGATCGCTACCTAGATCGGAAGGGACTGGTGTTAAACCCGTCCAAGACTCAGTTAGATCTGCTCTGGCGACCGGGCACGGAGCTGCCACCTGTCACCGCAGTCAACTGCCGGAGCACTTCCATAGTCCCATCTGCTTACGCTCGGTACTTAGGAATACTGGTTGACGAACATCTGTCTTTTTCAACCCAAGTGGATGCAGTATGCGCAAATGTCAATAGGAAGGTCGGAGCATTTGTCCATGCAAAGCAGAATATCAGCATTTTTGGCAAACGAATTTCTATTTATCGATCATTCAGTCCACATTTGAGTTTGGCAGCACTGCATATATTCATTGCTTATCACAAACCCTATATGACAAGCTTCTTACTGCCAGCCGCGTAGCATTAAAGAGAATATTTTCGTTGGATAGAATGACTCCCACCACTCTTCTATACAGTCATACTAACGCCCTTGAGAAAGGCCTCAACTTCAAAACCTATGTATTTGTTTACCGCTGCCTGAATGGACTTGCTAGTCCTCTTCTGCGAGACCGCTTTACCCTGCGCCCCCATGGTGCTCGCACTGCAGCCACCACCCGTGGCCAAGTCTCTGCTGCTCTTGTTCTGCCTCCCCCCCCCCCCCCCCCCCGCTAACACCCGATATGGCTTTAGTGCAATTTCTTATTTGGGCGCTGCCAGGTGGAATACACTTCCACCGGCTTGCCGCATGTCTAGTTCACCAGCTGAATTTCGCTCATCCATCAAATTATACCTAGGGTTCCCTGTAAAAAGGCGCTGACGCCTGTTGGGAATTCCCTAGTAAAAGAAGAATAAATAATAACAATATAATAATAAAGCTCAAAAACAAGACAAAAGGACGTTTTCCCGCAAAAAACGTTCGACGGCATAGACTGCAGGTCTGCGTACAGCACGGTTCGACTCTGCAGTGCAGTTCGAACAGTCGGCACCCGTGCCTGCCACTAGAGATCTTGCAGGCTAGGCTGGTCAGGTCTTGAAAGTGCCGTGCCCAGTTCGAAGTGTGAATGGGCACCGTAATTGTTTGAAGAAGAAAGAACGGGACATTCGAGGTGAATCCATGGAGAGTTCAGGAACAATTCAGACAAAAATGCGACTTTACTGGGAGTTTGTTTCAAATCAATCAGAACAATATCAAGCCTCTGGTGCTCAATGAAGCGATTGCACCAGATGGTGAAATCCCACAGAATCTTGATCTTCTGGTCCTGCGGAGAGATGTTGGCGTCTGAAGTATCTCTTGTTTCAGGCACGTTACCCGCGGGTGCATGATGCTCTTGGACCGACCACAGTGGTGCTTGTAGTACTCGTCTTCACAAGGTATCCCATGTACACGCATAGGCCAGCCGATTATGACGCTCCAAGTAATTCCGTCCAGCGAGCTTTGAACACTCGCATAGGATATGGGCAACTGACTCGCCTGCCTTCCCACACAATTGAGACAGGGGGCTTCTGCTGGCCTGATGGAAGATTTGGGCCTTGAGCAGGTTAGTTGCCAAGGCCTGGTGTTGTGTCGCGGTGATCAGGCTCTCCGTGGTCTTCTTGAGACCAGCCTTTGTCAGTCAACTCCAGGTATTCTCGTTGGTCAGTTGTTCTGTTTGCCGGAAAAAACTACCCATGCAAGGGTTTCTGGGTCTACACCAAGATATGTTCTTTTTGAAGCCGCACTTCACTACCATGCCTCATTTCTTGTTGGATGAGAGCAACGAAGTAAACAAGAAATGCTGTTCTTTTCGAAACACGAGTGCACAGTCCAGAGTTCACGGACTGTGCTGGGAGTGCGGTACGCACTGGCTGCACAGTGCGGAGTTGCAGCATGCACATTAAAGTGCATGCTGGTCTGAAGACAGTGTTCTTTTTGTTCTTGCACTGCTGCTGTACAGTTGCGAATCCCACCCGCCCACCCAATTGGATAGTCATCACTAAATATGTATGTGCATATGGATTTATTGGCTGAGTAAGCAGTAGTGCGTGTATGTGGCGAGCATGTTTCCGTGTGTGGGCCAATTTCAGATAATTCTGTATTAAGGTAGCACATTGGCTTTATTTAGACTGGCCCATTTGGGGTTATTCAGCATCTCCACCATTGTCGCTGGCGGCAATTCCCATTAATCAGTGCACTAGGCCGTGGTGAACGCATTTCGATCACAGGTTCATATATCCATTGTCCCATGGCTTGGATCGCTTACTGTCTTGCGTTGTTTTCCTTTTGTTATGCTAAAGTGATGTGTACCAGGCTGCCATGATTATGTTTAAATGCTGTGTGCCTGTGGCATAGTAATATTAATACACATGCGGTGCAAGAATTGGAGCAGCTGTTGCTGCGACCCTGCAGTTCTGTTGTTGTTGTTGTTGTGGTGTGTACAAGAGAGTCGAAAAGAATGTGAGTTATCTAGTGGGGCATCCAGATGTGGCCACAGAATGGGTGCAGCAAGCTTCATGAGTTCCGTATCTAACTGAAGCACATAACGCTGCAAATTGCTTTTCTCCATGGTGACAACATCATGGATACTTTGCAAACCACGTCCACCCTCCTTGCGGCTGATGTACATGCGAGCTACATAAGCGCGTGGATCGAGAGCTCCATGCATAGTCAGATGCTTGCACGTTCTTCGGTCAGCAGGTTTCAAATCGTCTTGCGTCCATTTCTAAATACCAGCACTAT